AGAATATAAATTTTAATTTTTCTTTTATTATTTTTTAATTGAATTGTATTATTGTCTTCAATAGTAATTAAAAAAATAATTTTGTCTATTGTTATTTCTTTATTTCTTATTCTTTTTAAGTTGGTTTGTATCTTTGTTGATAATATGCTTAAACATTTATTTGTTAATATATTTAATTCATTTGTAAATCTTTTTGTGGTTTATATTAGTTTAAAAGATGAAAACAAGATGTTTATTGGTTTTTGTTGTGTTATTTAGGATTATTGTTATTTCAATTCTATAATTATTCTTATATCTTTCTGGTTTTATATTTTAGTAATACCAAATATTGTCATATATGATTATTTTATAATATTTGAATATGATTAATTATTAATAAGTTGTAACACATGATTTGATAAAAAAATGCAAAGAAAATTATATACTAAATTACAATATAATCAATTAATTTATGATTTATTTCATAATAAACATGATATTTATGTTGAAGTACTAATTAAAGAGATTACAATTTATTAGTTAGAATAATATAATCAATCTAAATTGATTCTTTTTTGTTAAACACATAACATTAAATCAAGTAAACGAATAAGATATGTGCTGAATATAATAATTAATATGATAAACATAATTATTTGTTTCATGATATTTAAAGAGATATTTTTAATGAAACATTTAATAATCATTAATTGATGGCTTTTAAGTATTGGTTATATTAAATGAAATATGAATTGTTCCATTCTCAAATCAAAGCACAAAAAACAAAAAAATAACAAATTTTTTCCATGTAAAAATAAGAATAATCTATATATAAAACTGCAAAAAAAGCGTCATAAAAACAATACTATCATTAAAGTAAATTATTATAATTAAACTATAACTTTTTTTATTCCATGTTTTTGCCATAAACAATACTTTCTTCAACTAAAGAACTTAAAAACATAAATTAAATAAATGACTTTGATTGTTGGTATTGACATAGGATGGTATACCATTAAAGCATGTTACTATAACCCATTAACAAAGTCTATTGATACCATTAATTTTATAAATAAAGCAGAATGCTTAATGAATTTCAAATGGAGACAAGGTTTAGTTTTAACAAATGATAATTTTTCAATAAAAAATATTATTACTCCAAAAGAAGTGATGGGAAAAACGTTAGATCAAATTCAAGAAAAAGAGATTTTTGATGTAAAAGTTGACACAGAGAACAAACAATTTAATTTTTTTATTAAAAAAGATAGAACGACTTATCACTTTATTGGACTAACAGAAGTAATAGGACAATGTCTTAAAGAAGTATATTGTCTCCTTGAACAGTCTAACATACCCATTGATAGTCAATCAATATTTGTGGTTTCTATTCCACATGAAGCAAATGAAATATATAAAGAACAAATGACAAAAATCATTGAATACTTCAAAGAAGAAAAAAAAGTTCAAAATGTTTTTATAAAAGATGAAATGCAAGCAGCAGCGTTATCTAATCCTCTTGATGAAAGTGATGACAGTGATAAACTAATAATGGTTATTGACTATGCTAAACAAAAAGTGAATGTTTGTCTAATTCAAGTAACAAAAACTGAAGAAAAAATTATAGGGTTTAAAAGAAGTGAAACAATTAGTGGAAAAAGCATAGATGATAAAATTATTAAGAGAGTTAAAGAGAAGGTTAAAAATGATTTTCAATTAAAAGAATATAAAGATAAACTTGAAAAGAAATCAATAATATGGAAACTTGAAAATCGTCTATACCCATACACTTTTATTAAAGGTTATTTAACAATTCCATTAACAGGTATTATTTGTACATCTACAGAAGCTAATAACTTATTATCAACTACTTTTGAAATTTCAGAAGAAGAATTTGATGAAATGATTAAAGATGATATTAAACAAATTCAACAAATGATACAAGAGTTATGCCAATCATGTAACATAGATAAATCTAAAATTAATAACGTTTTATGTATTGGAGGATATTCTCATTTAAAATCATTTAAAAGTATGATAAACCAATTGTTCGAAATGTCTCAATTAGAATTAAATAATTCATTTGATAATAAACATGCAATTGCCTATGGACTTATTATGACTCAATTAAAACACATGAAAAAAATATTAACAAACGTACCGTTTTCTATTGGAATTGAAGGAATATTTGGCAACATCATATTTTTAGTAGAAAAAGGAGATGATTTACCACATCAAAAAAAATTAATAGTAAATGTAAGAGAAAGGAAAACTATAATTCCTTTATATTTTGGAGAGTTTGTAGTAGTTAATGAATCTAAGAAAGTAAATGATTTGATTTTAGAACTTCCATCTAAAATTAAATTACCTGCAACAATTCAATTATATTGTTATTTGTATAAAGATGGTCAATTAAAAATAGAATGGAACCAATCACAAGAAGAAGCTAAAAAAACTATTTTAGATATTAGTCTTCTTAGTATAAATGAAGAAAAATTATCTAATGAAGAAGAAACTCTTTGTATTAAAAGAAATGAAATTCGTGTTAAATTAAAATTAAAACAAATATACGATGAAATGAAAAATACTATTGAATGTTCTGAGGTTAAAGAAAAATATGACCCACTTCCAATTTTTGATTTTAATGCTAAAATCAAGGAAATAGAAAATGTTCTGATTAAAATTTGGGAAATTTTCTGTAAGGTTTGTGTAAATAAGGAGAAAATAAACCACATAAAAAATGAAATGAAATCTTATAACATAATCATGAAGAAAGAGGAGTAACAAAATGACACCACTCTATTTTTAATTCTTTTTGTTATTAGCTAATTAAACAAGAACAAGAATTAATTAAAGAAGTCGTAAAAACATTTCAAAATATTCAACATTCGATTAATGATATTATTAACAATTATCATTGTTACTTAGAAAGTATTAAAAAAAGAGAGGAGAAAAAAGAGAGGAATGAAAGAAATAATCAAATAAATAGAAGAATGGACAATTAGAAAAGTGTTCAATAGAGTAATTGAATCAGATAATGACAAATTTAAAGGAGATATAATATGGTTTAAAGAAAGAAACATGAATAAAGAACATCTAATAACGACTGTTGAAGAATCAGAATGAAATAAAAATATATTTTAAAAGTAAAATTAACAGTAGAATTGAAAGCGTAGATGAAATTATAAATGAAATTTCAGAATGGTATTTGACATTACAGAATGTTTTAATTTGAATAGATACTAACAGGAGAATGAAATGAATAAAACAAAGATCAAATAAAGAAGTGAGAAATATTTAATTGGTTATTTTTTGGAGGTATATCACCAACTGAAGAAGAAAGTTTAATTCCGAAAAGATATTTCAAAACACGAAACAAGTTACAAAACAAATAATAAACAGCAACCAAATCATATAAATGAATAAACTAAGTACAATACTAAAAGATATTATATAAAACAAATCACAACACAAACTAATGTAATTTTAATGAAATATCTTTTATTTTTATTATTTTTAAATGTCAAAATAAGATATATTCATAATTTGATATTATGGATA